GGAGCGGAGGTGACAAAATGCAATGGCAAATATTTGTGCTGCTGACCACAAAGGAAAAGCAACAGAAAAGTGGATACAATTGCAAGGTTTACTTTTGGATACTCTTTCATTTTGTAAGGATTTCGGAAATGTGAAATAAACTAATACTAAAAGGCAGTACAAAATCTTTCTCTATGTTGTAAAATCTTAATAAAAAGAGTATTAATGGTCTACATTTTATGTAAATAATGTATAAATAATATATATTTATATTTTTTCATGGGAACTTTAAAGTATTTGCAGGAAAATAACATTTTACATCCCTCATCCTAGTGTGTTATCTACCTTTTGGCTTGAGAAACTTAAACTAATATTGATTTTAGCACAAATAAAACTAAGAGTAAGAGAAATGACTTTTTTGTTTGTATTTATTTAATAATTGCCTTCATTTAATCTCTACAAAAAAGTCAAGAAATTTTATAATTTTACTTAATTTATACTTCTCACTATAAACTGCATTTATTTTATATAAAAATCTTTAAAATCGAAATTCAATTTTCCAATTTAACATCCTCACCCTTACAAAAACCCCCAGCCAATGCCAAGGCAACTTAGAAAGGACCTCAAAAACGGACTAACATAGACCAAAACCAAGCCCAGAACCAGTCTAGGCCAAAGCAACTGTTTTGGCATTTGGATGACTAAGCTGGATTTTCTTTTTAGCAATTTTTTGTGTGCACGTTGCAAGTGCCAAGTCAAATTGTGCGGTCATTTATTGCTAAAGACTCAAAAGGCAAGGGGGTGAGGGAGTGGAGGTTAGAGAAAGAGACAGATGGCGAGAGGTCAAGCGGCAGCTGGTAAAAGAGAGAAAGAGAGAGAGAGAAAAATGCAAAGGACATTCGAAATGCAGGAACTGCAGCAGCTAATAATCATGTATCAGCTTGCCTACATTTCAATTTAGATTCAAACAAAAAAAAGGAAAAAAAGAAAAGGGTCAGAAAATACCAGTCAAAGGGCAGAGCTTGACCTTTGCGGCAAACGGAGGCTTCATTAATTTGCACCTATTTCCAATGCCACGCCAGGTGACAACTTCCGCCCGCTGTCCTTTTTGCAAAGTAAATTATAAATTTTATTTCCATTGCCTGACCAAAAAACAAAAACAAAAAAAAATATATATAAACTAGAAATGTCCAGTTAGAGGTCTCGCTTTTGGGTTTTTCAGTTTTTGTGTTTTTTTCGTCTGATGTTTGATAGTCACGCGACTTATTTTCCGGGTGTGAGTTAAGTTTTGACAACATTTTCCTTTTAACCGCCAAAAAGGATTGTCTACTCTAGCCCATTCCTAAAGTTTCAAAGGCCCATTTGCAGCTGTATTCCCCTTGCGCTCAGCTAATCAACTTGTTATATATTATGCGTATTTGCATTAATAACATATCGCGAAAGGTTGGCTTCTCTGCGCCTCTGCTTTTCTTTTGGGCCCACGATTTTCCGGTTCTCTCAGCACGAATAAATGACAATTTTGTCGCTGCATACTTTTGGGGATTACGAAACGACACACACACACACACACCAAGTGTGCGTGTTTCGCCCTGGGTGTGGGTGAGTCTTCTATGGATGTGGGTTCCTACTTCTCTGCGGGATTACATGGGCTTAGCTTGGCTCAGCTGGAACTCGTGTGTGTGGTATGTGGCAGGTTCTTATGGGGCATGTTTATGGCCAGGATCTGTGGCTTATTCGGCATAACCCATCGAATTTCGAATACAGATTTGTTTATCGAATGTTCGTAATGTTTATCATATTTTTTTCCCGAGTCTCAGATGAGTTTTAAAAGTACAAATTTAGACGGGTTTTTATGAAAGAATTTCCTATTTTCCTTTAACGTCCTGGGAATTCTTTAATTGGATGTACAGCATGGCCAGGAAAACCAGAGGTAACTTCATTTTTGAGGTAGATCTTCCTTTCTTTGAAAGAGTTAGAAAAGTAAAACGACTTTATATACTAAATTTTATGAAAGTAAATAAATTGGAAATGGTTATGGCGAGTTAACAAGATTATAGCAAGAGAACTCAATTTTGTAAAAGTTTCCCTTAACTAATTTTTATAGATTCGATTAAGTAAGGAATGCGTAATATTTATACCCGTTACTCGTAGAGTAAAAGGGTATACTAGATTCGTTGAAAAGTATGTAACAGATAGAAGGAAGCTTTTGCGACCCTATAAAGTATATATATTCTTGATCAGGATCAATAGCGAAGTCGATTGAGCCATGTCCGTCTGTCCGTCCGTCCGTCCGTCCGTCCGTCCGTCCGTCCGTCCGTCCGTCCGTCCGTCCGTCCGTCCGTCCGTCCGTCCGTCCGTCCGTCCGTATGAACGCTGAGATCTCAGGAACTATAGCAGATACAAAGTTGAGATTAAGCATGAAGATTCTTGAGGTCCCGGGACAGCGCAAGTTTATTACAGCATCCTGCCACGCCCACTCTAACGCCCACAAATCGCAAAAAACTAAAATTACTGAAATCATAGGAACTATTGCAGTTAGAAAGTTGAAATTCAGAAAGTATAATCTTTAGATGACAGCGCATCTTATAGTAGTACTACTATCCGGCCTCACCCACCCATACGCCCACAAGGCTCAAAAGACGGTTTTCGGATTTTCTAGAAAAGCTGATATCTCGGTAACTATTCGTAATAGAAAGTTCGGATTAAGCATGTAGGTTTCTATGATGCTCCCAATGCGAATTGTTTTTTTCCGATCAAGCCACGCCCACTCTAACGCCCACAAAATCCAAAAAACCAAAAATGCAAAAATCTCAAAAACTATAAGAGCTACACAATTTTGCTTAGAAACACATATTTAGTAGATGCCTCTGCAACTTGCCACGAAGTTGCATTAGGCCACGCCCACTCTAACGCCTACAAACCGCGGAAAACTGTGGCGTCTATAATATTATTATGAATGCCTTTGTTTGACCTTGTATAACTTATTTCTGTTAATATCTATCGATTTACCAAAGGTTTTTCAAATCGGAACATTATTGCGCTATTTATGAAAAAATTAAGGTTATAAGGCCTCACATGGGAAGTGACGTCACTATAAGCATACTCAACATACTTCCTCTGACAATAGGTGGCGCCTTGTGAATTTCCACTAGCAAAATTAATATTTTAAAATTGTGTAAAACAGTAACGGGTATCTTATAGTCGCGGCACTCGACTATAGCGTTTCCTCTTGTTTTCTAATTTATTCGAATGGTTTAAACATTTTGATAGTTTTTTTTTTCAAAGGACTTTCTATATAATTAACCTGAGTCAGAATTTAGTTACTAATTCCCTATTCAACCGGCCAAAAGTGCCGCTGAAATTGCCAAGGGCCATTTAATTGTGAAAGCATTTTCGAAAGGCAGTCTGGTCAGGCTTTTGTGAATTTTAATGTTGCATAAAAGCATTTTTCGTGTGTTTGCCCATTTTTGCTAATGTATAAAGTGGTGTGTATGCGTGTGTGTAAGTGTGAGCTGCTTTTCAAGGTCGACGTACAGAAATTACAGTCACGCGTCAGATTTTATGCAAAACAGTTGAGCCCAGCTTAGTACTAGTAGTACTTTTTTTTCCCTGTTCCTGCACTTGGCAATTGTTGCTGCTGTTGTTGCTGCTGCTGCTGCTCTTATATAAGTGCCCAAGTGCGGACAAGAGAGTGTAGATGTGTATGAGTTTGGCAAGTGGGCGTGGCTGTCTATGGCTTTGAAAGTCATAAATTTCAAACAAGTCTCGTAAAATCCCAAGTGAACTTAGCACTTTGCAGTCGGCCGCGTTGCACATTTTCGGTCCTGTAGCAAATGCAAATTAGTTGAGCTTTTGCAAGTTAATGTTTTCATATCGCTGGTATACTTAATGATTCTAACTATTTTATCAAAGGTTTTATGGGGTGATTAATGTCTTTATGGCTGAATTATGGCCCAAACCAAATGGAAAGTAAGAAGTTTTTTGAAACAACTCAACTAACATCACTTAACATAACATATGTACTTATATATACTTACTCCACAAGGACTGTATCTGTATCAATAATGGTCTTATTGCTCTTTTAGTGGCCAAGATCAAAGTATGTATCTCATAAAAGTAGCCAAATGTTACGGCAAATGGCCAAAGAAATCTCGATTCTAAAACTTTTTTTTTCTTCACTCTGCCTTCCTGCTTCCTTGTACACTTTTTATTGACCCTTAAAATGCAAATAAGTTTAGACCGACATATACATATACTAATACTAAGATACGCACACACATATGTGAACTATCGTACAAGTTATGGCGTTTTTTATTGCCTACTTTTGCGGGACATGAGAAACCGAGCTTAGCCAAAACCTCACCTTGTTTTGATGTGTTTGATGGGTGGTGTGTGACTCTTATTTTTATAACTATTTGCCAGCTGTAAATGTGAGAGGCCGTTGCAAAAACAAACAGAAAACAAGCAGGAAGAGCAGCACTTTAAAAAGGCTCAAGAGCTGTGGGGTTTATTTGGATTTTTTGTTTGTTCCTTTTTTTGTTTAGGTGGCTTGGAACATCGCCCCACGCGGCTAATGATGCCCGACTTTCTTCTGCTTTTGATAAACGTCCGCTTCTGTTTTTCCGTTTCGCCTCTTTTATTGCGTTACGTTTTATGGGTGAAGAAGAAGACGAAGGCGAAGGAGAAGACCAAGAAAGAACCAAACCGGGACATAAACAAAAGTGGAAGAAAAACTTCAGAGGTTGAAGGCGGCAATACCCTGTACTGTTTTAGCAACAATGGTTAAAAGAACAGTTTCTACTTTTTATTTAGCATAAAAATATTTGATAAAAGATTTTAACTTTTTAACTATCTGTGGAAGTAAAATCTTCAGAAGTTGCCAGAAACATAAAACTTGCTCCCTTCCTACTAATAATGAATCCTTTTTTCGGGGGTTAGAACTTTCCCAAAAACTGAAAATACCCACCCTAACTAACGTATAGGAATGACTTTGTTTTCCGATGCCACCCATTTGTACTCACGATTTTATGGTGCAGCGCCGAAAGTTCGCGCTCGGTGACCCGTCGGCTGGCGGCCTCCCGGCGGCGCTGGCGAAACTGGCTGTATTTGTAGGCGAGCATCACGCCGGGTAGGGCCAGAGCCTCTAGCGGTGACTTGCGGCCGAAGGGCATCCTCAGGCTTCTTTCGCTTCTCGCTCGGTCCTACCAGATGGATATGGATGGCAAAGTCCCGTTTCTGTTTGCCGTTTTTCCCTTTTGCTTTCGGCTTAGTTACTTGGCGGCAAGTTGAGATATTTGCTTGCCTCTGGCTTTCATACACTTGGCACTCTTGGCACTCGGGGTAACTTCTCCTTTGACTTTGACTTTCAGCAGCGTCTCATTATGTAATCACAACATGGACACGAACAACACGACACTAACAGCATTTCGAACGGGGCACACTATTGGCACACTAAAGTCGGATTGGGTTCCTTGTTATCCTTGCTATCATTACACTTTTCTTTTTCCTTCGCATGCTGTATTAGGTTCGTTTCTAAATTGCCGCTGATGAGCTGCAATCAATTTTGCATTCTGCAAAAAGGGAGTTTGATTTTTGGAATCTTGGTGTAAATGGGTGAGGAGATGGGGTTATATTTTAGCTTTTCCGAAGGGGCATAATAAAGATTTAATGAAATAAAAAAAAGGATTCTTTGAGAAATAAATTATATAGAAAAGATTCGTGACTTTACTTTGTTTCGACACCTTCTCTCATTTGCAAACTTCTCTAAGAAATAAAAAAAACAAAAATAAATAAATCATTGCCTCTCGGGAAAGCTGCTCTCACTTGATTCTCAAAGGAAAACATTTGCCATTTTCCCTGGACAATATTTCACACCTGGCTGTCACTCGTCAATTTGTGAAATGAAATTCGCTAAACTTTGAGTGATATTCTTCCCTTGGGTGACACGCATTAATAAAGCAAAGTGCGTTGATTCCTTTAAGATTCAATGCAAGACATTAGTGTTATTCTCGACGAGAGAAACCGGAATTACACAGCCACCCACAGCACAATGATCATTAATTTCAATTACACGGTAGAAAGTTGCACACAAAAGCCGAATCACAGGGCTCCACGCACGCACTTGGGGGGAGGAAAATTGGCTGGATGATTACAAGTTGTCTTTCAGGCTTTATTTATGAAATTTATATCAATAGTCTGGCTGTTAGTAGTCGGGTTGAAATCGCACCGAAACTGAAAGCTGGCCCACGTGCACTTGGGGCCAACTCAGAACGGTGAATGTCGCAGAGCAGCTTCGCCAGTTTCCCACGAAACCATCATGGAAGCTGCGTGAGCCTGACGCAACTTCCAGGCAGAGCGATAGATGTCCCTTCCAGTGTGCCTTTGGACACACGTTTTGTTTACGCCAATTGTTTTTGCAAGAAATCTAATAGGTTTTTTTTTATGTCACAACAAAACACCAAAACGGTGAGTCAGTATGGCTTTCGTAGTGTTTCTAATTGATGGGGGAAATAGGTTAAGGAATGCCACGTTTCGGTGAAAAGACAGCGGTGCACCTTCACTTGACTCACACGAAATAATTTTGTCCTTTTCCACGTTACGTATACGCCGCGTATGCTGCCGTATTTAACAACCTGCCCCGTAGCGCCAGCGAGTGCGACTGCCTGCAAGGATTTTCCAGAGTATATTTTTTGGGATAGTTTTCCCACTGGCTGGATGGCGCAGGCGCACTCTAACACTTGCCGGCGATTTTTTGGTATAACAGATTGCGTATACGACCAGTGTTTCGCCTTCTTCAGCATGTTGCCAATTTGTTGTTTAGCCCGCCACTCTGTCTATTTTATTTCCTTACACTCTCTCTCTCATTCTTTCTCTGTGTCTGTCGTCGAAGGGCTAAACGTCATGACATTGCTGAGAGCCGACGTATAAACAAATCACAAAGTTTGGTGGCAGGGCACAACACCCTCTCGGAACCAGTGGATATTGTCCAGTTTGCCGTTTTGTTGCGGTTTTGTCAGCTCGCACAATTGTGTTTCGTTCAACTTTATGTGCCACTGTTAATTATGGTCGGCCATTTGCCCCTTGTTCGGCTAATTGCTGCGGTTTCTACCACAATATGTGCGATTTGTAGTTTAGACGCATATTTCTGCATTTAAATGAGACAACAATTGTCTAATAGCAGTTTGTTGGCGCGTTTTTACAGAACAATTTATGTTGATTGCTATTGAAATGTTATCTCTGGATGCTTCTTAATGTTCCAATTTGCATGGCAATTGCATTTTATTTAATTGTTTTTGGTTTTTCATTTATTTGAAGTTAAGAATTAAGTAAAATTGTTGAGCTTGGAAAACTGTGCTAAGCTAAGATGGCAATCTTTATCGCATTTTTTGCAATTTAATAATATTTTCTAAGTAAATAAAGTTATGTAAAGTATATATCTCTGTATATCTTTATAACACTGATCTAAGAAAGGTAAAAAGAGCTCATTTTGTTGAAGGATTTCCCTGAAATAATTGGCAGAAAAACCAATTAAGAAGTCGATTCAGCTGAGGATTAACATTTAGCTACAAAGAAACTTCTATTATCAATAAGTATTTAAGAGTTTTAAAATTTGTAAACTTTTTTTACATTCATTTAATATTTATCCTGATCTATAATCTAAGCCATAGTTTTCCTTAAGTAATGATCACAAAGCCCTGCTATACAATTACCTCTACAGTTAGTCCCTCACGACAGGTGCACTGCAGATCAATAGGTGTTAAGGGCGCAGGTCAAAAACAACAGAGTCGGCTAACAAGTAGCCAAGCGGAATTGCCAAATGTTGAAATGGCAAAGAAAAAAAAAGAGAAAATAACAAACAGCCTAGGCAAAAGGCAAACGAAATCAAAGTGAAGTAAAGACAAAGTAAATAACTGGAAGTAAAGCCAAACAAAATGTTGTTATACGAAGAGAGCCGGCTGGCTCTCTCTCTCTCTCTCTTTTTGGCTCTTCTGTGGCTTGGCCTGTTTTTGTGAAATGGCCAAGAGGGACAAAATGGAGGGGTAAAATTGTTTGGCGACGCCATGGAAATGATGACGTAAATTGAAACCCAAAGCTGCCACGGCAACGGAATCTATTTGCAATGCTCCCTTTGCACCGCCACTGGTTTTAAATCCCCCTTCGCCCCCTTTTACTTTTTATCAACCGACAGGTGTGCAGTGTGTGTAGTTCTTCTGGGCAATCTCCGAGTGCATATTTGTCGACTCACTGAGTGCACTTCTGAGATACTAAGATACAGATACGCGTGCCACTGCAGATATATACTTTGGACTTGGACCTGTTCTAATGACATTTTTGTATGACAAAGCTTTTCCATTTCCGCTTAAATGCATTTTCCAACCCATTTCATTTCGCTTCTTTTCAGCATTCTGAGTTGTTTCAGTTTGGATTTCAGCTAACCGCCTTTCACTTTGTTTGTCCTGCCCTGTACGAACGTGTGTGTATGTGTCGGTGTTGTGTCCTTCTGTGTCCTGTGTGCACTTTGTGCTCAATTCTGCGTTTTCTATTTCTATTTTTAGACCTGCACTATAAGCCAGCTGGGTTGCAGGGGTGGCGTTTATGGGGGGCGGCGGAAAACCTTCATTCTCAGGCAATTGGCATAAATTAATCAAAACTGCCACAGAGTATAAATACTCAATCGACAATAGACAGCCACACACACACACATACTCCAACATTTCCGCACATCGCAATTTTCCCAATACCAAGCCACCCCCCTTCCGCCCACTTTTAACCCGCCTTTATTGCATTGACGTCACAACTGCAGTTGTCCGGAGCGATGCCTCTGACTATGATGATGATGATGACGATGATTATGTTTGTCTTCTGGCCAGGTAAGCACCTTCTTGACCTTCCCCAAACTGTTTACACTTATCGCTGGTAAGGGCCCACCGACGAGAGTTCTTGCCTCTCGGTTTTCAGTTTGCAGTTGGTAATTCTCGGGGTCCTCCCTTCGATTGACAGGTTGCCGTCGAGTGGGTTGCCCCGGGTGTTTGTGATGGCAGAGGGCATTACTAACTGAATCAGCTAGGGAAGATAAGTGCTGATTACCTCAAAGGGGAAATGGAATTCCTTAACTTATTTACGCAAGATCAATGGGGAAGGTTGTTGACTGATTATGCATAAAGAGGGGGAAGGTATATGCTTGCCATTATTATTCTGAAAATTATACAATTCAACACTGAAGGGATTTAACTTATCTTTTCATTGTAACAAAATATTGTAAAAGCTTAAACTTTTAACTTTGAATTTATTAAATACGCAACATGTTTTTTTATAATAAATCTTGCATGGCAGTCCATTATTTTCATAATTTTGTATATTGCAAATTTAATAAAAATGTCTCTCACTAATTAAGTTAAATGGAATTATGTTAAATTGCCTCATAAATGAGGACAGTTAATTTTTGCTTTTAATGTAAAAAAATATAAAAAAAGGTTGATGATTGAATATTTAAAATTTTAATAGGAAGACTTTAATCATTTAATTTGATTAAGTGCTTCATGAAGTTTTTCACGTGAAATAAACGTTTAGGAAATTTGGTTTTTATTTATGGAGTTTTGAATTTTTGTTGCCTACTTTTGGGGTGCATTACTAATTTCTTTTTCATCTTCATTTTGTAAAAACTAGTTTGTCCTCGGAATAGTAAAAGTAGTATTTGTAAGTATTTATTTATCTTAAAAAATTTATTCTAATATAACAAAAATGTACATACTTTTTCTACTTATTCCATTTACACACAGAAGACTTTGACTTTTGGGTAATTTTTGAAGTTTTTGGAATGTTTTAAAGTAAAAAGTGTCATTCACAGTGTTTTATGCATAGTAAAAACTTTTTTACAGGGTACTATGCCACCCATCATACTACCAGGAACCCGTATTGTGGTCTCTTCTCTGATGTCTTGTACTCATACCCTCCTTTTGTGATTTTATCGCCTTCAACTTTGTGTGCGCACTTTGTTGGCTGCCTGGTGGCTTTTTTTGGGGTCTCCACCTGACCGACCGGGTCAGTTCTTGGACGGGCTTGAAAGCGTGCGGTCTGAGTCAGCTTTTCAAGTTAACTGACTATCCAATTTCTTTGATTTTATCTCGTGATGGCTGCGGCTGCTGTTGCCACACCGGGAGCCACAGTGCTCCCATCCTCCGGACCTAGTGCTCCTCAAGGAGCCAAGGCTGCTCCTGCCGCTGGAGCAGCAGCAGGAGCTAGCAAGGGTCCAGGAAATCTTCTAGAGATCACTGGCGAGGCAAATATCGTTAACTATATGAAGAATCGTTTGAGAAAGGGAGCCATGAAGCGTAAGGGCTTGGAGATGGTCAATGGCCATAAGTTCGGAGTGAGATTCTTTAAGAATCCGACTTATTGTGGCCACTGCAAGGACTTTATCTGGTGAGGACGTCGGATTTCGATTTTCTTTTTTCTGGCATTCTAACATTGCCATCGTTAATTTAATTAGTGCTTTCGCTGCTGACACACTTTTCGTTGTTTTTCGTTTATTTTTTCGCTGCTCTTCCGTTTCGCATTGTTGCATCCGCGAATTCGTGCCGGGATTAGGGGCTTTGGCAAGCAAGGTTTTCAGTGCGAGGGTAGGTATTAGAGTTCTCTTCTGTATGATGTTTTATGTTCTTTTAATAATTTGCTAACACAGAATGCCGCTTTAACATCCATCAAAAGTGCTGTAAATTTGTGGTTTTCAAGTGTCCTGGAAAGGATACGGACTTTGATGCTGACTGTGCCAAGGTGAAGCACGGCTGGATCTCCACCACCTACACCACACCCACATTCTGCGATGAATGTGGCCTGTTGCTTCACGGAGTTGCCCATCAGGGTGTCAAGTGCGAAAGTGAGTTGTGAAATTAACTCTAGAACCTAAATCTTGTCAAGCTATTTACTTGCTTTAGATTGCAACCTCAATGTGCACCACTCGTGCCAGGAGACGGTGCCACCGATGTGTGGTGCGGATATCAGTGAGGTGCGTGGCAAGCTACTGCTCTATGTGGAGCTTAAGGGTAACAACTTGAAAGTGGATAGTGAGTAAATGAAAGAGAAGTTTGTATAGTTAAAGGTTAAAGTTTTTATAATACCCTAGTTAAGGAGGCGGCTAACCTTATTCCCATGGATACCAATGGCTTCAGTGATCCCTACATTGCCGTCCAAATGCATCCGGACCGTTCGGGACGCACCAAAAAGAAGACCAAGACCATTCAGAAGAATCTAAATCCAGTCTTTAATGAAACCATTACTTTGTAATTTTAACAGATTTTGGTTTAGAAATTGTAAATCAAAACTAAATTCCTAAATTCTAGTGAATTGCAACCGCAGGATCGTGACAAGCGCTTGTTGATCGAGGTCTGGGATTGGGATCGCACTTCCCGTAATGACTTTATGGGTTCCTTCTCATTCAGCCTTGAGGAGTTGCAAAAGGAGCCCATAGATGGGTGGTACAAGTTTCTCTCCCAAGTGGAGGGTGAACACTACAATATACCCTGTGTGGATGCCTTTAATGATATAGCTCGTCTACGGGATGAGGTTAAGGTAGGTTTATTGGTGCCTTTAATCCTAAAGATACTCTATCGAAATTCTTTAATCATCAGCACGATCGTCGTCCCAATGATAAGCGTCGCATGGACAACAAGGATATGCCTCATAATATGAGCAAACGCGATATGATTCGAGCTGCTGATTTCAACTTTGTCAAAGTCATAGGCAAAGGATCCTTTGGCAAGGTACTGCTGGCCGAACGTCGTGGCACTGATGAGCTGTATGCCGTGAAGGTCCTGCGAAAGGATGTTATTATCCAAACGGATGACATGGAGCTGCCTATGAATGAGAAGAGAATTCTAGCCCTATCTGGTCGTCCTCCATTCCTCGTCTCCATGCACTCCTGTTTCCAAACTATGGATCGATTGTTCTTTGTCATGGAATACTGCAAGGGTGGAGATCTCATGTATCATATGCAGCAGTATGGAAGGTTCAAGGAATCGGTGGCTATGTAAGTTTCAATGATCCTTCTTTGGTATATTTTATTTATTTGATTTTTTTAGTTTCTATGCCGTGGAAGTGGCCATTGCCTTGTTCTTCCTTCACGAACGTGACATTATCTATAGGGACTTGAAGCTGGATAATATCTTACTGGATGGCGAGGGGCATGTTAAGTTGGTGGACTTTGGTTTGAGCAAAGAAGGTGTGACTGAACGTCAGTCTACACGCACTTTTTGTGGCACTCCCAACTATATGGCTCCGGAAGTAAGCTATATCATAAGTTATTAGGGAATAATCTTATAAATTTATTAACAAATCCAGATCGTTAGCTATGATCCTTACTCCATCGCAGCTGACTGGTGGTCTTTTGGTGTTTTACTTTTCGAATTCATGGCAGGACAGGCTCCTTTCGAGGGAGATGATGATAATGCCATCTTTAGGAACATCAAGGACAAGAAGGCCGTGTTCCCTAAGCATTTTAGCGTAGAGGCCATGGATATAATAACCAGCGTTAGTATTGGTTTTGGAAAGTTATATTATATAATAATATGAGTCTTAATTAGTTTCTAACCAAGAAACCCAACAATCGTTTGGGCGCTGGACGTTATGCCAGGCAGGAGATTACCACGCATCCTTTCTTCCGGAATATTGACTGGGATAAGGCAGAGGCTGGGGAAATGGAGCCACCCATTAAGCCAAAGATTGTAAGATAAATCCTAACCTGACTAAAAGAAATCATATCATTATATTCTTTCAATAAATTTCAGAAACATCGCAAGGACATCAGCAACTTTGATGATGCCTTTACCAAGGAGAAGACGGATTTAACACCCACGGACAAGCTTTTCATGATGAATCTGGACCAAAACGACTTCATTGGTTTCTCCTTCATGAACCCCGAGTTTATAACCATTATTTAAAAGTGGTCTAAAAAAGTTTGGAGAAAAGCTAACTTGATTTCCTTGGAAAATATAAAAGCTTTAAGTTTACTTTATAGAGAACTTGATTTGTTGTGTCCTTCGCTTAGCGCCTGATAAAAATTATTTGAAAGCTTTGATTGAGTTTGTACATCTTCCTGGAAGGCTTTCTTTTATAGCTTTCTCTCTTTATCAGGGAAAGCTTTTCGTTAACATTAACATTGCCTGTTCAGCCCAGATAGTAAAAGAAAACAGATAAAGTTCCGGACCAGCAGCTGACTGCTTTCTCCCTTTCACTCTCCTTCTATCCATACCTACATATATATATATATATATTTGCCAAGAGGGGTAAACTTTTTGGGGAAACTCACCACTCGAGAGCACCTGAATTAGTTACGCATACGCCGCGTGTGCAGCACTCAAGGAAAACCTGACAGGAAGTTTCAAGATTGCCACCGGGCTAACTAGCCAACTTCGGTTAAAATCTAAACTCATCAACAGGCCTGAAGTTTTCAGTTATGTATGTCGAAAGCAAAAGTTGCTCATAAAGCCAAAACTTGTTGCCGCTCATGTGGTTTCCCATGAAAATTCTCTCAAGATATTTAGACCCCGAAAAATCCATCCATCTTGTGTGCGAAGCGTAAAATTGTTTAAGAAAATCGTTCAACGGGTTGAAAAGCGAGGTTTAAGCGTTTTGCCAAAATAGTTTTTCCCGCTGACAGGGAAAACTATGTCTTTGGGAGACATTTTAATATGAAATTCCACAAGCGGGAATTCCAGTCAGGATATTTGTAATTTAGGGCCTTCTCATCTAATCGCCTGGCGAAAAGGGATTTTAAGGTGAATGCAATTTTCCGCTGGCCTGGGCTTAAGTGAATTTCCAACCATTCGCAGCTTCCTTTTTCGAAGGCAACATCCTGCTCAAAACTGTTTGCACTCTATTAGCGGCAATTTGCGGGCTTACGTGCACTTTTCACGGCTTTTAGACACGTTCCGATGTCTGATGTCTCTCGCTAGTCGGTCTGTTAGTTGCACTGTTCAGGGTTCAGAGTGCAAGCCGACGAGAGTTGTGTCCTTGGTGCTAGCGTTTCCTCTATCCATCCCCAATCATCGCTTCCTGCCACCGGCAAACCGCAACATGTGCCTTTTGGCCTCCGCTCTTTGGTCCTTGTCGTTGTTCATTTGGAGTTTCGCTCGGGCATTAGGATGTACTAAAGTGCTTAACACAATATAAATAATGGCCCGAATGGTCGGAGAGAGATGTATATTTTGCGGCGTAATAAAACGCAGTGAAATCTCATCGGTTAGCATAGTTTGCCATGTCCTTGCTGATCTCTCTCTCTCTCTCTCTTTCTTCTTCTGCAGGATAATGAAGCCATGAACAGTGTCCTTGAATGGGGACCGAAAGAAGAGGATGTCGTTGAGTGGCTAAATTGTCAGCTTATAAATCAGCAGTCTAGGATCTCGATAAGCATGAAAGGAAAGCTCTAAAAATGAGCCATTCAATGGGGGTTGATTGAGGAAGTGGGCGGTGGTGCGAAAGTTTGTGGTTCTAACTGCTGGTGACCCCGATTCTTTTTCTATGGTATATCATTTAAATCGCCTTCTTGAATGGGCTTCTTAACACGGTGTTAAACTATTTAAATTTGAAAGAGGGTGGGTTAAGTGACCTCAATTTACAGATATTTTTAATTCAACATTCAAAGTTTTAAATGAGGGTTACTTTATGGTTCTTTAATTTAGAAATTGGAAATCAAATTGTTCGATAAATTTAGTTCAATATTAACTTATGGTGACTGGAATTTCATTTATAGGTTAAGGTTACTATTGGGACTGTTTAAATCGTCTAAAGATGAGCCATTGATGAGGTAAAGTGATGAACTTCACTAAAGATGAGTCATTGAGATAGCCATAAAAAGGGTTCTTTTTCAGTTTTCTTTTCTCAAATTAAAGTAAACTATATATTTTACTTCCTAGCCTGAAATTTTAAACCAAACACGTTCTTTATTCATAACCACATTATCATTCTGTTTTACTTATTTTTAAAAAATTTAAAACGAGCAGACAAACTTTTCCTCGTCAACTTTAACTTTTGCTGACACCAACTCATGACTAGAATATATTATTAAAATAAAGTTTTCAATTCTCTTTGATAGCCAAAATGAAAACTATTTTGATTTAAAAACATTTTTAGCCAAACATTCTACTGGCCCTTAACTTGTGACCTCGAAATTCCTTTTTAACTTGCTCGAACAGTATGTCAATGTCGGCCATTAAATGGGTTTGGCTTACAAATTGGCCAGCATTAAAGACTCAAAGACGACCACAATTTCCACCCCAAAACAATAAACTCCTTGAGCTAAGTTATTTATGCCGGGTCTATGCCAATCTGTTTGCCACACTTCGTTGGCCGTTGTCTTCTTGCCTCAATTTCAATGCAAATTTATATATAAATATATATATATTTTTGTATATATATATAGGGCTGTGCGTTGACAGTCCTAACACGATAACGATGAAATCGTTACGCTTTAGCAAGTGCGTTTCTTATTCATGCTGCTCTTGTGCACCTAATACCTGTGGTTGCCTGGTCTCCCAGCTCCTGGTGCCCCTTCCCTTCCCAACATTCTCCCCAGGACCCTCTCGCATTCCTTCGCTATCTGTCTGTTTCATACACTGTCACTTCCGCTTCCGCCCGAGCACCCATACTGAATGTGCCCCCTCCCCTTAGCCAGTTTTTTTGCTTGCCACTAACTGCTTTGGCACTTGGCCACTCCTCCATCTCCCAGCCATGGAATCCCTCGGTCTTATGAGCTGCTGATGGCCATTTGGGCCAGCAGGACGGACGGCAAATGACATGCATATGGTTTTGGCCTGGCCCGTTGGCTAGGCTCATAAAAGCCACAAAAGCCGCTGAATATTGTCATGAATTAGCTGCAAGCTGGTTAAAGGGATTTGCACTGGGCGAAAAATGTTAGCCAAATGGGTTTTAGGTAGCTTTTTAATATGTTGTTAGTTACAAGCAGAAGTTTCTTTTGAGCTTTGATTTTTTTATTAATTTATTTAATCAGTTTTAAGCTTTATAACTTTATGTTATGCAGTCTTAACTGTCAAATTAATCCAATTAGATAGGTTAAAAATTTACCTACAGTTTGAAGTGTAATAGGCGGATGAATTCCGCTTACGCCTAATTTCATTGTTGTCCGGATGACGGCGTGGATTTATCAGCTAAGTGAGTCTCTTGGCCGGGCTAAATATTTAACCTGCCTCCCAGGTGGGTCTGCCGGGTCGGTCGGTACCTTCCCGGTAAGGTCTCTCCTCCTGTTGCATTGCCTCGGCCCGGGGACTCATTCAAAATGCAAACACAGCCCGCGGAGCTGTTGGCAGCTGCACGTGGCGCCAGTTTCGAGCACTTAAACAAACAAACTGTTGCCCCACGTTTTTCTTTGGTAGTGTGTGTATGTGTGTGTGTGTATGTGTGTGTGTGTATGTGTGTGTTAGCCAGTCATTGTCCTTCCTTTCACGTATCCTTTTTGGATAAAGAGTGTTGCTTTTTCACAGCTGTATGCCATTTGGCAGTCGCCCAGATGCAAAGTGCAGGCAACAATTTAAGCCATTTTCTAGCTTCAATGATTCAGAGTGCGGACTGGCGAAACTTAGTTTCCTTCTCTCCACATTCCCCAGCTGGCATTACATTCCCATTTCCATCCATAATCAAATAAATTACGGGCCAAGTCAAGCGCACAGCTGAAATGAGCAAAATATAAAACAAAAAAAAAAAAAACGAGAAAGAAAGCACCCAAGTAAACCCAGCACTGAAATAAATATATATATTTACATAATCCAGAGGAACCGCAATAAAATGTACGAAAAAATAAAAGCAAATTTTAAATGAGCCACTATAAAAACTAGAAACAGGATACTGACTAGCGATGTGTGAGATTTTTACAACCACAAGTGATCGCTTTTATGACCTAAAAGTACTTGAAAACACAAATTTTTAAGAGCCGTTTTGGAAAATGGGACAAGTTTAGGAAACGTAAAGGAAATATTTACTTTACCAGAGGAAAGCTGTAAAAGTTATACAGGAAACTTGCTAAAAGATCTGTTTTTGTGGCTTAAGGCAGTTAACAATGATTTCAGCGTACTAAACTTTAAGTTTTAAACAAAAGACTTTCAGAAAGTTATGTCATTTTCACTTCTTTTTTTCCTTAAGGTACCATTTGGTATTCTTAGTTTTTGAGCCTTTAAACCGATCATCACAAAACAATAAATAACACTTTCTAAACTGAAAAAGAAATCTTTTTAAAGACTTCTCCTGGCATCTAAAAGGTAGATTTTCATTTAAAGCATTTCCTCACGGAAAAGTCTTTTGGCATATGCCATCAATCTCTAGACACACAGGCGACTAATAAACACAAACAAAATACACAAATAGAAAGAGGGAAAAACGTATGCATATATGTATAAATATATGCCATATACATATACAAGCACACGGTGAAAGTTGCTTTTATAGACCAAACGTGATGGTTGAGTGAGGAACAGAGCTTCAGGGGCGTACTGGAGAAGGAGGTACTGGCACCCTACGTTTAAGTTCCATTAGAAGAAACTTCATAGAAAAACTTACTTGGTCTCAAGAGGCAAGTGCAAAAAAAAAGAAATAATAAAAACTTGAAGTTTACAACTTTTTTACAACCCCCCGACAAAAAAGATTCTGCGGCCACACCACAGAACTCAACTTTCACGCACACACCAGCAGAAGTATATTGCATATTGGAATACAGGGTCTAGTCCATGCGATTTCCCCTCCCCCCATCTTACAGTTTTTCCATTTGGTTCACTGGAGTTTGGCTATTCCCAATGCAAACACCGCGCATGAAATAATTATTCCGACTCTCGTCCTCCAAATGGATGCCGCCACATTGGCGGTGGAGTGAGTAGGTTTAAGGAGGATTCCAGGGGATTCCGAAGGATTCAGGTGGAGGGCAGTCGCCGGACATCTAGTGGGGCAATATGAACTTTATGCATATCAGGCTATTTATTTTTAATGTTAAGTTTTGCCTTCACTTCCGCACACACGCACAGGGGATATTTTTTTCATAACTCTTCTTTAAAGCTCAGCTACACTGAGATAAAAGTTTAATTTGAAATAGAGGGAAATAATTCTGAAATATAATAAATAAATCTTCATTAATAACTCACACTTGTGATATGTTTTCCCCTTAACCAGTGTATATGATATCTGGGCAATGAGTAATACGGCGAATGTTGAGATGCGATGCCAGCGCGCATGGCGCTCTAATTAATAAGTGATGGAGCTGGAGGTCCTGGCTGGTAAGGGGGCTTTTACGGCACAGTCCGCTGCCTTGCGCCGTAAACTACAATGAAAATGAAAATGAAAATGGGAATAAAAATAAAGATAGAGATAAAACTGTTGCGCGTCAACGCCGGCTTTTGTCCAATAAAATAGACAAAGTAAGTCGCTTAAGTCGGTCGCATCCTCTACTTTCTCTCCATGTCCCTTTCACTTTACCACCCCTCCCCCCTCAATTTTCTCTCACCTCTCGAATCCTTTTCCCTTAGTTTGTTTTTTCCCTCTGCCGCTTCAGCTTTTACTTTCTCTGCCGGTCGTTGCGCTCGTTCCGCTTCACTGCAATTCAAAAGCGCAGTATGTGTGTGTGTGTGTGTGTAAGCGTCCTGACTTGTGTGTGTGTGCGTGAGTGTGTCCTTCCTGATTGTCTTCCACCTAACGGCTAAAGTGTGCCGCTACACACTCCGGTCGGCTTCTTTCCCGTTATGGCATGCATCAAAGCAAAGTCCTTCGCCGCTTCGCTCAGCTTTCATTTCATTTTCCATTTTGATTTTTCCAGAGAGCAAGGATTCTGGGTAACTAAGACTTAAGCAGTCAATATGACGTATGTATTTTATTTATATTTACATTTTCCAGATTTCTTAGCTGTGCTTAATTTAGTGTTCCTAGAAAATCTTGCCCTAGAATTACAAATAGATTTTCCATTGATTGACATTTCCTTTGCATTCCTTTGTAGCATTCAAGCTGAAAGTAATGGGAATGATTTATTAAGATTTTTAGCCCTTAAGTAATATAACTTGTAAGTTATCAAGATATTATTTTAAGTTACTTTCTTCTTACAGGTTATTCCAATGGTCCATCAGGTAATACCGAATAAACAAGGTTTGTTTTTAATTTCCACCGGAAAAGCCTAATCAAGCGCAAAAACAAAGATATTTTTGGTTTGCCAGAGACCTTCAGCTGGGCTATGTCGAAAATGTCGGAACATATATATATACTCGTAAGCATATATATGCCTAAAAGGCAGCTTCCAGCTAAACAGTTTAATAAAAATGCACATAAATTGTGGAGGAGCAGGATGAGCAGCAGGATGAATTTCGGATCGAAAAACAAAAGCCTTGAACATGGGCGCCTTTTTTTTTTGTTGCCATTCTGAAACACTTAAGTGGCCAATTGTTTGGCGTTTATTGCCACTGAGCCAGGCAAAAACCTGGGTTGATGATACCACATTATGCATTGCTGGCCATAAATTTCAAGGCTCTACGTTTCGCGAAAATCGTTTATTCGCATTATTTGCAAATTGACAGGGACAAGGACACCTAATTACTCCCTGCCGAGCACTTGAGTTCGCATCAGATCTCTTCTCTTTCTCCCCATCGAGCACTTCATTTAAGCCCGGCTGCCAATTTGCCCGGTTGACAAAAATGCCACGATGCTAGACAATTTTTTTCAATTTCGCGTACGCTTTTACCCCCAAGGACAACGGGGAATCTCTTCAGGGAGAGAATACCGAGTCGAGTCAGACTTACGTGCAGTGCATACAAATGAGCGAGGGGTAAATAAATTGTTCTGGTTTACTTCCATCGAGGAGATTTGGGGATTTCGGTGTTAAGTGATAATCGTCATATAAATCAGTTTTCCAGATGGCCCAAGCTTAAGGGTTAGTTTAGGCAGCAAGCACATGTGTTATTTGCCATTTTAGAGAATAAAGAAATAAATTAGAATTGAAAATAGAGTTGGAATTAAAGGTCTTACGTTACTGGGGAAAATGTTAGAATCAACTATTGGCATATATATGAAATAAGCTACTTTTTACTGCATACTTTTAGGCATATTTCAAAAGGAGACACAATAAGGTCATAGAAAACATAATATTTGATGTAATTCGTATTCATTCTCATTCTCATGTTTTTATACAACCATTTTAATACAAAATTCAGAACATCCTTAGCATATTTTTCCGACACATTCAAATAGACATACGAATCCCCACATAAGTAATTTGCTTAAGGTGTTGGGGGGAATAATAAGAGCTGTGGGCGTAATAAGTGAGTGGAATAAGCGACTCTTTCCAATAAGCCACATAACTCTGATATAACCCCCCAAACCAGCGACAGATACACGTGCCACATCTGCTGATTCTGATTGTGTTCCTCTTTTGATTAAAAATTCATGTCATATAACGAAAGTTGTGCCGGAACTAAGGATCTCGGGATTATTTCCAGGGAATTGTGTGCCCAAGTGTATGCCGCACTGAATTAGCTGAGCACCGAATACAGAATCAAATAATTATCCCTGACTTTGGGCCAAATGTTGCGTGCAAATAATAATCTAAGAGACTCGAAAGCCCAAAAATCGAGAAGTGGCAAAAAGGTCAAGTGTAAAAACAAACACAAATACTCGCAGGAAAATGAGAAGGGTAGGGGGAAATCACCGGGAAAATCGCTCTATTTGTCTGGCATAATTGCAAAAGGCAGAGATGAAAAGAGTGCCAAAGTAAATATTTAAATATTAGCAGAAGCTGGCAGAGAAGATACCATACAAAAAAAAAAAGGACCTTTATTGACCCAAGCCGAAAGGTATGCCAAAGCCAATTTTTACTCATTGCCCTCAAGGATGGGAAATTCTTATGGTGGTGAGGTGTTTATGTTAGATTTCCCCATTTTCCTCACTCTACTGTGTGATAAAAGTTTACGTCCATCAAGGATAATCTGTAATTTTCTTGCATAAATCGCTTAACGAGCAATTGCCAAGTTTTTCACCCAAACAAATCGCTGCCAGCCACTATAAAAAACTTCCAACAGAAACCGGAATTGAATATGAATCCTGATCATCGTCCCTGTCAAAGGGGGGAAAAAAAAAGCAAGAAAGAAAAGTGGGAATGCTGCATCAGCTGCTGGCGCTGTGATTGAAGCTAAAATTCGGCATTTTCGGTTGTCTTTTTTTTTTTTTCGTTTGCCCTCCTTTCGCTTGGCTTTTATAAGCAGAAATTGCTCAATTGAAAGCGAAAACGGCAGCATCCAGCAACGACCTTTCACTGAAAAATCGGAAAAGTTTTCTTTTCGGGAAATAGAAAAGTTTTTTTCACTGCTGGAAAAAGTGTGTGGGAATGTGCGTGTGTAGGAATTGGAGAAGAGCGCGTGAGAGAGTGTTCTAGGAAATGAGATATCTTTCTGGGAAATTCATTTTTGTTAAAGTTTTTTTCTACTTTTTAAGTTCAGTTTTCTTTTGGTCGTCATTCCCCCATTCCCATAATCATTACACTTTATTTCGAATGACTTGAACTATCATCAGATTATCATATATTTTCCCCTTAAAACACATCGTGAAGGGAGTCACGATATCATCCCCAATAAGAAATAAACGTGAGTCCTTGGCAGCAAGGAAGCAACAATTGAAGTATATGAAAACGTGCTGGGAACCAAAATGAAAAAAAAAACACGCAGCCAGAAAAAACTGAATAAATTTAACTTTTCCTACTCCAAGCGAAAATCAATATGGAATCTTAACAATCATGGCCAATGTTCGACATAAATTTATAAAAATGTTGGCCCATCAAAAGCAAGGAGGACAGGGTTCTTGCAATATTGCAAATAAATAATTGCAAGACGAGCACAAATTAAATGACTTTCGAGTTAATTGAGGGGAAGAGAAGGAAGTTGAAGGGGGAGGGAAGGGAGAACCGGAAGGAGCAGGTGGCAGCTACCAAACGAGATACGACTCGGGGTAAAGAGGCAACAATAACAGTTGCCAACAGCTCGGCCGAGCGGAAACGGAAATGAGTAGCGAGTAACTGGGAGGCAGGACGAAAAAGAAAGCGGAAATGGCGGAGAAATGGAGAGCGGTGGGGCATTCCACGAAGCAACAGTTCAACTGTAAAACATTAAATGAAAATGAGGCCCAGAACGGTAGTAGAAGAAGAAGGAGAAGGAGCAGGAGGGAGGCAGAACAAGGACAGGCACCCGTAACAAGGACGCAAGTTTTTCTTTTTTCTCTCCCCAACACATTATTTGTGTGTGGCTGTGGGCAAACAACGGCCAACAACGGTACAAGCCCAGTTAGTAAGCAAAACATGTTAGCTCTTGTGTCAAGTCAGAGCTGCAGTTGGGGGGAGAAAAAATAAAAGGGAAAATGTGAGCGAAAAACGAAAACCAAACCGCTTCAAGGACGAGTAGGTATTGAAGAGGAGGGAGGTAAAAACAAGGAAAACGCAGGAAAACCGAACCCGGAAAAAACTGTAGAGACCGCAGCTGCTAAGCCAACTATTGCCAAGGGGAAACACTTCAAAGAATGCCTGTCAGTATGAATGACTGTTCTCCAGCCCCTCGTTCGGAGCCTGGGAAAACTAAGTGAATCAGAAGCCAAAACTTGAGGAAAACTGAAACCAAACGAAGTGTAAAATAATTACTAAATGTTGTTAAGTAAAGAATAAGCCTGAAGGGCAATCTAATAAAAGCTAAAACAATTTGAACTTTAAGCAGGCATTAAATTTGCTTAAAAAATCTGCTTATAAAATTAGAAGCCAGCTAAATTAATCATATTGGTATGCCTACCATACTTCTTTCTTAAGATTTTATGAAAATGTAATTCATATTTGTAAAAATATAAAAACATTATATTATAAAGCCCCTTACTACAAAGTTACAATATCTTTCATGAACAATTTCCTTCTAACAATCTTTCCTGAGCTTTTAAGTTTATAAAATCCCAGGCTTATGGTGTGCGTGCAACACACACGTTACCATTTTTTTTTCTTGCTTAACAACCAGGATGTGGCTTAAAGCCAGAGCCAAGCCAAAACAATTGCGCTTGGCAGCAAGATGAGAAGCGTCCGAAAAGGCGTTGCCAATGCCAACTTTTGGCCAGCTTTCTGCCAGCATGATGTTCATTTGCGGTGCACCGCATGTGGCATCATTTTCCCCGTCACCTCCTCACCGATCCCTGCTAAACAAAAATGGTTCTGGTTTTCTGGCGGAAAGAATCAGACCAATCAATGCCCAAAGGCACAGTGACAATGAGTTCGAATGGTTGCCTTGATTTTTGGCCCGTGGCGAGGAGAAACCATTGGGACACATACAGAGGGATTCCAAGGAGCACGTGGTCAGGATGGTGACGTGGAGCGTGTTTCTCAACGGAAGCACTGCAGGAATTTAAGTGCTTCCGCTTTCAGCAGGCAACATATGAAATCAATAATCGAAATAATAAGCTGGGAGGGGAAGGGGGGTGGTTAGGGAAATGCCAAGAGGTGTGTGTGTGTGTGTGTATATGACAGGTCAAGGAAGTGGAGGAAACCGAGCGAACTAAGATTCTTGGCAGCCTGTCAATATCCAGATACTTATCCCAAGTTGCCCCCATTTCCAAAACGGATGTTCGCACAAATTTTACACACAATTTCAGCAGTGCAAAATGGCGAGAGGAAAATGTTTTTCTTTTCTTTTTTCATTTTCGGCAAGAAAATCAATAAATTCATATGGCCCACTTGAGTGGCAGCACGATGGATTAACTAAGAAACTACTTTCATGTTGCGGCTAAACGGAGCTGAGATGAAAATGAAATGCTTTCAACTCGGCTTTAGTTTCACACTTTTTCCTAAGCCTTTGCTAGCCAAAGGAAAATGCATTAAGCGAAAAGAAGGTGGAAATTTATGAAAAATAGTTTAAGATTAATTTTGTATTTTGGGGAAAGCCTTAAATCAAAGTTATGGATGGCGAGAAATATTTTAAAAATTTATTAAAAATTATATAATAATTACTTTAACCTTTTGCCTGCCCAACTTTTCTCTCAGTGTCAAACTAAATGAGATCTGGCTGTTGCCAAGGGAGTCGGCTTGGCCCTGCCACATTTGTTAATTACTTTTTGGCCATAGACAGTTTTGCGCTGACCTCAGCGCAAAATTGCTGAGTGAGGCAGGCGACGGCAGGAGGCAGTGGCTCCTGGGCTCAGGACACCATCCCGGCAACCTTATCTTATAAATGAACAATTAAATAATGCCAAGGACGAGAGCAAAC